AAAAATGCCTCGAAGCAGGCATGTTGCAACCAGCCTGAATTGCGCAGGCGATCTAACTCGCTAAGAGCAAACAAAAGCTTGGAGATTTTAGGTCGGTTCGATTCACCTGCACCAATTAAAATCGGTTCATGGCTGTGCACACGAAGTTCAGAAATTGTGCAGCGCGAGTTCAGCGGTGCAGGCACAGCGCAACCCCCGAAACGAATGACAATGTGCTAGCAAGGTGCAGGCCTTATTTCTGTTCGCTTAATTTACGCCGTTCAGCTAACACTGAAAGATGCCAAACCGCACATGTGGACAGTTTATGAGGCACAAACACCTTGGCAAAACACACCGCGTTAGTAGAGGCGGGTACGGCGCCTACGCTTAAGTGCTGCGTCGTCTGCTCAGCTGCACGCGCGGCTGCACCAAGCGGGCACCATCAGCGTAGGAGGTGCATGAAAATCGTGAACTAATGCTGCATCTCTTCTGCACCTTTTGAAGCGAATGGCAGGGTTCAGTGGTCGTCAATGCTGCAGTGCTGAAATGAATTACAAAGTGCAGCACCTCGTGAACTGGTTCACGTGGTGCAGGCGAATCGAATGGACCTTTTATACAGCATTGGGTGCCTCTGTAGTGTACACGTATCCCGAAGGAGTACGGCCACTAGCGTGGGTCTAGTCTTAGCAAGCCGCAGTGGCGAGAACACAGTACTGCTCAAGGTCACAACACTTTATTGACCGCGGCAACACCAAAACACAGTACAGAGCCCGTTGCAAAGTCGCGGCAGGAAAGCAAATGGGCTTATCCACGCTACGGGCTATAAATACTACACAGGGGTGCCGCGAGCACCTCTCTGTGGGCAAAAGTGATTCACGGGGACAAAGGGCCCGGTTGCTCGAGTGAGAGCAAAGGCACTTGCGTTGGCTTCGGAGAACTACGGGTCGGGGCAGTTTGGCCATGCACTAGGACATCGCGCCGCTCTTCGGCCTAGCGTTCGGAAAGGGTGACAAAAGGTAAGCGTTCGCCAACAACGCCTTGCGCCCGCGGCGAAGTTTTAACGAGCCCTAAACAATGGGAGCCGATGGTCAGAAAAGAAATGCGTGCTTAGCCCTTGTGAGACCGGAAAGGTTCTCTTTCACTCCCGACGCGCGCGCACGAAACGTCCCGAGAGACTTTGGGTGAGAGGGGTTAAGCGTCACTCCTCACTCTCCCAGCACGGCAGACAGTGGAGGAGGCGACCTATGTCGGGACATGAGAACAGCAGAAATAGGCGGGAAAGCCCACTCAATGGCAGCGGGCTAGCCTCAATTCCCACAACGCGCAAACTTGCGCTCAAGTCTTTACACATACTGCTCAAAGATTGGGTGATCCACTCTTTCGAATTGCTGTCACATCCGACAGGGAGGGTTTTCATTGCCCTGAAACATCTTGGGTGTCGCGTCTTTCCTATTGCAAGAAAAGGGAGCTTCTCTGTTCCGGTTTGCATTGGCACCAACCATCACTGTGTTGCGCTCTGTGCTGAACTTGTTGCTGGCACAAGGGTCACCTAAAAATGCCAGAGAGTGATCCTCGCAGCGTTTGAAAATAGCCCTGTCTCGTCACAGTTCAAGGTGTCTGAAGGTGCATATTCGTTGGTCAAGGCTTTGAGCTGGGTGAAACGATAATCTACCCAATGTACCGCTCCGCTCTCACCGCTCACTTTTTAAAACAAAATTCTGTGCCGCTTCTTAAAGCTTTAAATCCTTAAAGTCCATAAACTTTAAATCCTCAATGCTCTCTTTAAGAGCGAATGCCTCGGCCGTTTTCTTTTAATAATCTCTAGACATGGGCAAGTTCTTGGCCAGAACTCTTTTCAACCACAACTTCAGGTCCTCTTCAAGGGCTTGGTGAACCCCCTTACTGTTGTTCTTCTGGGATTTGTTGCTTGAGTTCTCCACTGCTGTCACTGACTTAGTTCGGTTTTTCACATAATCGAACACAGTTTGCTTAGAGAGGTATTCCTCAGCTACATCAAGCAGGGAATGCCCACTTGCGGTAAGCTTGACAATCTCTACTTCCTTCTCTAACGTCGGCGTCGTGTACTTGCCATGCTTCTTCACACAACCTGGCTCTCGCGATAACTCGGATGGCAGAGCCATGGCATCGAGCTTGTAGAATTCGATGCCGCACACACGAGAAGCACAGTGTCACGATGTGACACGACACAACATGTGCGGAATGGCGATATAACCAACAAGACACAAGAATGAACAAAGAATTACTCCTTTGTTGCTTGCTTCGCTTATCCCCGTACTCTGTAATGACAATAGTGCTGACTAAAAAGGAAAAAATGGTGTCTCTTGTCACATTGAAAAAAAAAAGGGGGGGGGGGGGGGGGCTTACCTCTGAGATCGGCAAGCGCTTTCCCATCTCGGAGGCGGTAATAGCTATTTGGAAACCAACTCGAGCCGCATAAATCGAAAATTCAACATGGCGGCATTCGTGTTGATTGGTGGCTCCGCTCGAAATGAGTGATTTGGTTCGACAAATTCACTTTCAGGTGCAAATTTTTCTGAAAAATTGGTAGAAAAATGCATTAGGTTTATGGAACTCCTGACGGTTCATTTACGAAGTCTGGAATATCCAACAAGTTCGAATTATTGAAGTCCGAAAGATCGTTCGGCGACTGTATATCTGTTTCTTCTCGAAACTTGCCTCAATCCATCATTTCGGACATCACTGACATGACGCAGTTGATGATGGTATGTGAATCGACCGAAGTGCATGCGGAAGGGGAAATGGCACCACGAGAAGGAGCGACGCCAATTGGCAAGGTGGGGTCGCTCTCTGGAAGAAGAAAAGGGATGCAATGCATCATGACCATGGCTTCCACGATTAGGTCCTGCAAAGTATTGTTTCTGTGAATCTGTCAGTTTTCTCAACATCTCCACAATGCGAAGTGACAGCCTTAGCCCAAGTGTCTGTATTGCTGATAGCAACCATCCCTACCAAAAATAGCCTTTCGACGTGCGCCTAAGCCCAAGTGTCTGTGTTGCTGATAGCAACCATCCCTACCAAAAATAGCCTTTCGACGTGCGCCTACCTCTCCTGGCTGTAAAACAGTGTTTCCTGATTACGCTCGCCCAGAGTGAGGTCACGACTGGGCCAGAGGAGACATGCGGCACACATTGCATTTCCCTCGTTACGGCCAGCGGTGATGTTCGATGACTCTTTCATATGTCACATGCTAGCAACCTTATTGCATGTTATGTGTTGCATCATCAACATGGCTCTCGGGTCAATTTTTCTGATTACGCCCTCGCAGTTTGCTACAGTTATCACAAGGGTTTGTTTAATCGTCGGGATGGAGACTTACCTACCGAGCATCAATGTGTGTGCATTTACGGTAAACTGTGCTGTAGCTGCCAAACACCAAGACATTGACGGAGGTTTCTATATCATTGTGCAGTAAACACTTTAATAAATTGATAAGCACACATTTTACTTTTGCGTTATACTGATTCCTGTGACAGAGGAATCAACCATGTTTATTTTTCTGCCCTAGTGCCCATTTGTGCTTTATACCTCAAAAGAAGCCACGTAACTCAAACTCTTAATGTGCTTTGAGAGCAGCTGCCGAAGACTGTGCAGTTTTATTGTGCATTTTACAATGTGCCAGGATTAGGTAAAGCTAAATAAAGGTGAATCTGTTTTTGAAAGATCATCCTTACTTGTTCCATGCAATAAGAATGTACGGGTCATCCACTTCAGTAAGTGAAGCAAAGTAGGCAAAGCTTTGTGTCTGGTGCAAATGATAAGTATGGTTGCTGGCTCTTAGGTTCCCACTTGGGTTTTGTTTATTCTCTTGAAAACTGTTTTTCCTGCTATCCTAATATATATAGAAGCTTCTGTTGCTCCATAGGTGTGAAAAATGCTTTGTCATCCTTACATTAGTGAGGAGCTAGGTGTCCTCTGCGACGGATAAGCCTTTGCACTGGCGCTAATGCGGCTACAGCGTATCAGCGTCGCCAGCGAGGTTCCGGCCGCGCGTGGTTCAACATTGCACGTGCGATCCCGTTCTTACCAACTGCGCTTAAGTTTCCGGTCTGGGAAAAATGTCGTGTTTATCGAGCTTGCTACAGGTATCAGCACTTACTACCTCGTCCGTAAATTGAAAATTTTTTGTGGTTTTAATTATGAAAGCTCTCACTTTTGCTGCAAGTGCGCTGTCATGCATAAGCTTGGCGAATTTTCATCATTGTAGATCTCCCAGGCCGTGAATGCGAACTTCATATCACGCATGCTGTTGATGGTTCAGTGCTCGAGTGCAGATCTTTTCGACACCGAACCTTCATGTCTTTCACAAACATTCCGCAATAACATACCAAACGGCAAGGTAATCCAAATCGGCATTGATTGCGCTTCAATTGATAGCGGTCGCGTGCTATCTAAGTTACGATTTGGCACAAAATTAACGAAATTCTTGGCAATGACTGCACTTGATGGGAAGGGATACATATCGTTAACGAAAACAAGGGCAGACTTGTAGCACTTTAATAAAATTTTAATTGGGTAATTCACAATTTCGCTTCTTGCATCTTTGTTGCCTTGTTGTGTGCCATTTCTTTGCACTACCATTGTAATCTGCCCCCTCTGCTCTTTGTTTTCAATCTTGCAAGCCGTCTCTAATATTCACTGTAACATTGAAATTATCATAGTGCAAAAACTTACAAGTTCACCTGCTTATGTTGGTTCTATGGTTTGCATATCAATTTGAAATAAAATGCTGCCATCTCTTTCTCCACCTCTTCTAGCCTACTGTTTCTATTTGATGACAAGAATTTCACTCGTGCCGTAAATTCGAACATAATGCTCAACCACGAAACCTATGACTTTGGCACAGTCTTCAGCCCATCAGCAAAAAGACGGTGGAATGTCTGTTGCGACATTGCAGATTTATGCTGTAAAAGGTCATAATGTTGTGGTGCCCCTCTAACAAATCGCTGACACTTCAGTCGTGTTATTACTTTCACATGCAGGCAGCCAACACAGGCCACCTGTCGGCAAAGAAAACCTGAAGAGCAGCTTGCGTTTCACTTCACAAGGCGAATGCATCTTCAACGCACCCGCGATGGCTCACCTCGCCGCAGTCAAGGCACGCAGGGAAGCATTTGTATCTCAGCTGGTCTCCACGGGCTCCACCAATCTAGAACACTGCAACTTCCAGCCTCGTCGAGGAGGCAGCATTGAAGAGCCACACTCTCGCCTGGAGGCAGTTATCGAGGCGCCACTCACACCTGCCGAGGAAGTGCCGAAGGAAGATCCAGATGTTCGGCTTTGTGAGAAGGTGGAGGACGAATCCGAGTCCATGGATGTAGACGAAAGCCCCGACGCAGACTCTACAAATGTTGCTCCAGAGTCAAGTCTATTGCGTACCCCGGTGACACCTGCTCCTGTTCCAGCCAAAGCTGCAGCGTTGCAGGAGAAGATGACAATGGCGGCCCCCACTAAAATACCCAGCAGGCGCACAGCTCCGGCCCCATGCAACGACGACTTCAACTTCGCGCTGCCAGACCTTCCTCTTGAGCCATCTCCTTCGACGAAGCGGGAGAGCATCATCCAGATTCGCCAGCGTAACGCAGGCATGGTGCGGAGCAGCGTAGAAGTGTTTAACAGAGCCGCTGCTGCAGCTCGAGAGAGCCCCGTGGTGACACGCAGCCGCCGGACAGTGGTGGCACGCAACACCTCCACGACCAGCAGGCCACCGCTGAGGGAAACAAACTTCCGGCACCCCGGCAGTCCTACAAGGCGGGAGCGGCGCGACTGGGAAATGGAACTCTAGGGGGCTCGTGTGGGCATTTTTTAGTGTCTTTCTTATGACATCTACTCTTTTTCACTTGTGGAAGTCTGCACTAGACCTGTTTCGAGACTGCCCCTGTGAAGCACCCAGTGTCCATCACTTGGTGCTGCTAAATACTATGTGCAGCCTGCTTGGCTTTTAAGTGAGGCTGAAATACATGACGCACATGTTGTCGCATGTTAGTTTTATTATTTTAATGAAAGCCACACCTAGGGACCTTGATTTTTTTTTTTTTTTCGTCCATCATGCATCACATTTACCCTCAATATCATCTCTTATAAGGTCCATTTCAACTTATGTATGCCATAACTATTAGGCGTAGACATGACTCTGGGATTTCCCAGTTTGATTTTATCTGATAGGAGTCATGACAAGTTTACATGATTGAAAAGAGTGATGATGCTTATGTGGTTTGGGCTATTCTAGAGTTCAATTCTGATCATGGAACTGGTACGAGGGATACGCTTCATGTTTTTATAAAGCATGCAATGATCCTAGTTTTAATTGTGAACATGCTTCTGTAACTTAAAACCAAGGAGCTTTAGCATGCTAAACGAGTGTATTTTTAATGACGGTAATAATGTTTTACGTTTCTTTTATACATTTTCACATATCATTCTTTATTATAAAGCTTGCTCTAATCTCAATCATTGAGACGTGCCACTTTGGCAGCATTCTTTTAATCTGTTGAATAAAAAAAAAAACCCTCTGGTGATGTGAGCTTTCTGTCCTGTCATTCTTTAAAAGAGCCATCTCATCCTTAGTATGAGGCAAGGCAAACAGCGATTGAGTTTGCAGCAACCTTCGGAATCTTGAGAACCAAGTGTTTGCGAATTCAACAGTTTAGTGAATGTAGCCATTCTGACTTGAAACACGATAGTCATCAATCCATTACATGTGCTTACATTCAAGAGGCCCTGTAACGCCAATTGTAGTTTTCATTGCTTCTTGTACATGGGAACGCTGAAGCAGCAAAACCAAAAACTGTTAGTGTTACATCATTGGAGGAATCTTTGTTGCTAACTACAGAGACTCAAAGTGGCCATTTTTGTGATTGGAATTGACTTTGTCAGATGGGGACAATGGCTGGGTGTTTTGATTGCCATCTTCATCAATTGACTATGAGCTGCCTACTTATTTCCAACAAAAGTGGCGTAGTTATAACATGATTCACTGGTCATGAAGTTAATAACAATGGCTTGTCGCATACATCAAACCTTTTCCATCTTGCGTGTGGTACATACCCGCATACTACAGGTCATGCTATGCAGGTATGTGTAACAGGCGATTCAGCTTCAAAACCGTAACAGTGAAAGAAACTCATTGAAATGCAAGGCAAGGGAGACGAACACAACACCCCTGAAAGACCCTCGACTACCATCCACTCGTCCACGTGATCCGCCAGAATGACTTGGTGTTCTCCATGTCTTACGATCGAGGCTGGACGATGGACGCGTGCGGGCCGAAGGTGACTCCAAATTGTTTGAAATCCACTTCGCCACGTGCGCAGGGGATGCCGTTAAGTGCCCCGACAGTGTAGGCCTATACGGGGCATGCGCTGAACCTTGATGTGCAAGGGGGCGATAGCATCGCCAAGCAGACACCATCTGGGTGGTCCGGCCGTTCACGAGTTCGTGAGCGCAGTACCAGGCAACGTTCTGTGTGCGCTCTGTCTTCACTGTGCGCGCGTCCTAAGAGAAGTGTCGATGGTCTCGGCGGTGCAAGCCGCCCTTCTTGGCTCACAGACAGAAGCGTTTAGGGCGCGGTGCGCATTTTTTGCTAGAAAAGTATTTGAATAATTTGCGTGTGCGGCGAGGCGGTACGTGCCGTGGCTGCACGCCAGCCAGCTGCGACAATTATGAGCTGTGTCGTACTTGCTTGTAACAACCACTCGAAAAAGAAGCCTGCAGGTCCAGAATGTTGCCTCGGCAAGTTTCTTATACCGAAGGTGCTATAAGTTAAATGTCAGAAGACCGCCGAGGCAGAGTGACCACGCCGCATTTACCACTCGTACTTCCTGCCCTGTCATTACGTTATCGTGTTTACCGGATTCAATCGCGCTAGCACGACAGAAGAAATATGACTAGACATAACCGAGAAGTCTGCTTATCTTTCCGACGACAGCGATCATGCTGTACGGCAAAACTGTGTACGCCTGCACTAAATGGCTGTGATCACTCGGTTACACATGAACACGCTCCGGGTACGCAATGGTTAATGAAACAGCCGCTGCAGCAATTGCTGCGATCCCTTTCCTGCCATAACCCGTTATCGTGTCTACGGTATAGTCACAGCGCTAGCATGGCACCATAAACGCGATTTCAAATCGACGAAGGATGTCTGTTTACCGTTCCGGATACCGATATCGTCCTGTTTGGGATAACCTTCACGCCCAGCTGCTGCACCCATTCGATTTTAAGATAGCTTTGACCCTCCATGGATTTGTAAGCGTTTAGTTGATCACGTGGCACAAAACTTGTCGCATGAACAGGATAGTATGTCGCTGAAGTCGACCCGCGGCAGCAGTTCAACATTGCGGTGGATTTGAGTGTCTTGAAGTTCGTACTAGTGGGTCTACGCCGCCGCACACTTTCCAGGCAGCGCAATGCGCGTAGGTTCATCTTATGCACGTGCGTATATGCCTTAAATCAATCTGTCCACACGTGCACCAATAAAACTTCCACCGCATGCCACCGAAAGCGCATCGAACCGCCGAGCCAGCCAAGATGGCGGCATCCAAGGTCGATGCTGGCGCACCTTGCGGGTGACGTCAAGTGAATACCCCCTATTAGCCCCGAGAACGAACACTGGCGTCGCAGCGATCGCAGCTGATATGACGTCACGGCAAGGACTCTCCTCCTCGGCTGCCACTTGTCTCTTTTTTCTGTGCCCGCCTCGTACCCGCCCTTTAGCGATACGCCGGTGATCGCTCATCACTTGCATGACGCAAATCTCTGAAGATACAGAGGGAAAGGTTTCATAACTATAAGTTATCGAGGCTGTGAAAAGTTTGCATAATTTTGCTTAGGATAGGCAGACTCCCGTCCTAACGGCAGAATAACTGTGAAAATAGTTGTTTTGTTGCGTACACCAAGAAATGAGTGTTATGAAAAATGTGCTTAGTGGTGCTAATCTGATTACAACTCGGCATAGACTCCGGGATGGGAACATATGTGTGCCAAAGTATCAGAAATCCGGGATGGGAACAATGAGTGCTGGAGTCCCGTACATTAGCGCAGCTGCACTCAACGTCCATAATTTCGGGGAACTGAAGGTCCATATTTATTGCGAGAGAAACATGACACTGAACAACGTGTTGAGAGGGCAGGTACACGAAAAAAAAACAGACACAACAGCGGCGGCGGTACTCTAGGGCGAGCGGTTACGAGGTATTTTGCGATACTTGATAATGCAGGCGTGCGCAGGTCTTGACTGTGGTCTTGGAGCACCACCAAAAGCAGTGTCCTTAGATATGCGGAGTCTTCATATACAAATAACTCTAGAGGAAAGTAAACCCTCATATCTTCTACAGGAATCACCCATGAAGAGCTCAACCGAATAATGTAAATATTGTGTCATGCGTCACAAAATCCCATGACCATGCGTCAATGAGTTTGTTATACCCAAGCAGAACTGTGTTCTTGCTTTTCACACCCGTGGGAATGCGGCTGCCATGGCCAGGAATGTAATGTGTTGTGGCGAAACGGGTCGGCGCCGCTTCTGCGCCTGCGCGTCGCGGCGATGCCTCCAAACACGGGCGCCAGCGATAAGAACACCCTCGCCCGAAATAAGCAAGAAAACTGTGTGTGTGCCCCGATTCCGGGGGCAGTCGTTGTAGAACTTTCAGTGCGGAAACATTAAAGTTATGTTATCCCACATCTGGTGACCCGGAAAACGAACGTACCGCACCGCCATGGCCGACGAGGAAACCCTTGCTGCCCTTCAACAACAAGTATAACAACTGCAAGGTCAGCAGCAAGTGATCGAGAACCAAGAGCAGCAGCTCCGGGAACAGCAGCAGCGCAATGAAAATGAAGCACTCTCGTCCGACTACCGTGCACCACACCACTTGGGTCACGCTCCCCAAAAATTCGCTCCAGCGGTCACTGCCACCTCGGGCGCCTCCATTGCTGCGGCCGCCACCAACACGGACGTTTGTCGCGTCACCGTCAAACTTCCGCCGTTTTGGGCAGAGGCGCCTGACGTGTGGTTCGCTCAAGTCGAGGCGCAGTTTTCCACGGCACGCATCACCCACGACCGGATGCGCTATGACTACGTCGTCGCCCATCTAGACTCTCGCCATGCGGCTGAGGTTCGCGATATACTTGCGAATCCCCCGGCTGATGACCGTTACCTACACCTGAAGAGGGAACTGATCCGCTGGCTTTCACCTTCACAAGACGAGAAGGTGCGTCACCTACTCCAGCACGAAGAACTCGATGACCGCAAGCCATCGCTGCTCCTTCGTTACATGCGTGACCTCTTGGGCAGCACCCCGGTCGACGACTCCCTCCTCCGTATCATCTGGTTTCAGCGTCTACCCTCACATGCGCAGGCCATCCTCCAGGTGCAGCCGAATCTGCCATTGGACCAGCTCTCTCACATCGCTGATCAAGTCGTCGAGATTTCGTTGCCAGCATCGCCTCTCACCTTCAACGCCGTTGACACCCGACAGTCCAGCAGCGAGCTCGCGCGCCGTGTCGACGAAATCACCGGTCAGCTGGACTTAATTAAAAGCTGGACTCTTCACGCCGGGCCAACGTGCGACCACCCAACAGCCTAACGTCAAGGCACTCACCATTGGGAACCAGTCGCCATACCATGACATCCTCGCAGAATTTCCCGACCTGACTCGACCTAGCGGGCGTCCACAAGAGGTGCGCCACTCAACCGTGCACTACATTCGTTCTACTCCCGGCCCTCCGGTCTCATGCCACGCCCGTCGGCTAGCCCCGGACCGCCTACGAATCGCACAGGCCGAA